TAGTTTCGTCCTAAATTTATTTTCTAAAATTTTTATTCAAGCCAAATTAGTTTCTAACTTTTTAAAAAATATTTTAGCAAATTATATTTTTTAGTTTTGGGCGTGGCATCGTATTGAAACAATCGTCAATCTCCTTTGTTGGGCAACACGTCCATTCAAACATCGGATCCATTTTAAGCCTCAACACAACTAGTGTGTTGGAGAAAATCCCGATTATTGAATGATGATTTTTGATAACACCGGTCCCTATCAAATAGGAGACCTTATCATGAAACGACGAGTCCCTATCTCGTAGGAGACTTTATTGGAAAATTTATTATTTTTTGATAGCGACTCGTCCCTATTAAGTAAGAGACCTCGTCACGAAATGATAGTCCATATCGAAGGAGACTTCGTTGAGAATTTTATTATTATTATTATTTTATTTTTTTTGCAAGGAAAGATCAAAAAACGTGCATAAAATAAATGAAGATTAAAATTACCTTGATTAAAAAAATTATGCATAATCCTAAAATAAATATAAGCTGATAGACATGCAACCAATTTACAATGGTAATTACATTAATTAAAAATAATTGAACATAATGGTAATTAAAAATAATTGAAGACAATAAATATCTAAATTAAATATAAACACTAAGCATGCATAAAATCTAGAATTTTAATTTATATTTAAACATTTATATTTTATATTTTATATATTTTTTTATGAGGCTAGATTGATTGCGATCTAGGCTTTTTTGTTTTTCTTTTTTGGTGGCTTTTTTGTTGTTTAAAGGAGGGACGGACTAGGTTGGACTAAAATCAATCCAGCCCCTTTTTTTTTTTAGATTGGGCTCGAACCCGTAAACAAGCTCGGATACATAAATTCAAACAAATGGATCTAACAGTCTCCGGACCCCCTTCTCCCTCTCTCTCTCTCTCTCTCTCTCTCTCCTATTCTTTATGTTCTTCACTTTCTCTCTCTAAGTTCCAGTCTTTTTCCAAAATTGAAACCCCATTTTAGACAAATAGTTAGCTAAACAAATTATTTTCCTATTCTTATTTCACTTATGAACCAACCATCGAAACTAAACCAAGTAACTAACAATACTTAGAGTTATCAATAAATGAATCGATGTTTTTTTTTTAAAAAAAAGAATACGAACTACTGTCTTGGTGAATTTGATGATGGTTATTCGAGGATTGATTATAGGTGAGTTAGAAGTCCTTAGTTGTTTTGGGACATAGGATCACTTCTAGAATCTATGAATTGAGGTCAAAAGTCCACTAGATGTTGGAATGAAGCTGAAAAGTGGTCGATGAACATAAAGAACCAAACCCGAAATTCAAGAATACCTTTAACGTACGCTCGGAAATCCAAAGAAAAAAAAATCCCACAATGGAAGAATTGAACCCGAAATTTCAAAGATTAAAATTGAGAAACCCGTAAGAATGGAAAATTAATCCAAAGGAAATCGAGGAAAAGAATTAAAAGGGATAACGAGATGAAGAAGCGAAACCCAAAAATTCAAAAACACTCAACCCCCAAAACCCGTAAAAACCCGGATGTGCAGGAGCTAACCAAAACCAATTTCGTGAATTCCAACCCCTTTTCCTTGCTTTTTTTTTTACTCTCCTTTCTCTCAAAATCTAACCTCCTCCCCCAAAACCTCGAGTTCTTACCCCTTTTATAGGCATTATCAATTCAACTTTCACTTCAACTCAAATACCTTCAAACTCAAATTTTTTAGCTATCCAATTTGAACTCAAACTTTTATTATTGACTTTAAATTTGATTAGCTAAATAATCGAGATAGATTGAATTTGAAGAACTCCAAAAAAAAATTAGAGGATTGAGATAAATTTCAATCAAATTTTGGAGGGAATCGAGACCGAAACTGCGGGTTGGAGCAAACGAAAGGTCGCTCGCTCAATTTCAATCATGTCGTTCACTCCAACCTTCTACTTTAGTCTTTACAAATCTCAAGTATTTGCAATCATGCCCATTTTTATGTAATTTCAATCATGTAAAGAATAATTTTTCTCAATTGGATCCCTATGAATGGTAGTTCAAGTACTAAATTTATTAATTGACTCTATTATGCCTCTAAATATTTCAATTACATTTTATTTTAATGTGATTGTGTCCATTGATGAAAATTTTATATTTTCTATACATTTTTTTTATTTTTTCTCTTTTTTTTTTTTTTTTTGTTTTTTACTCTCACTCACACTCTCTCTCTGTCTCTCTCTTTTCAAAATAATTTAACTAAAATAAATAATTAAAAATTAAAAAATGAAAGTTATTATTATAATTATTTTTTGGTTATAACGAGTCTAAATAAATTAATTGGACCAAAATGGTTTTGGCCCAATAAGTTTAGTTAAAAGCCTAAAGATATTTTGGTGGGAAGATAAACATCAACCTTATTGGATAATGATGAATGTTTTAAAGATAAAGATCAAAAGTCCATATGTAAAATAACTCATAATCCTTTGAGTATTACGAAGCAACAACCATAAGTTTAATTAGGACTTATTTGTCAACCTTCTCCTTGTCCTTGGAGGATAAGAAAACTCTTCCCCTATAAATAGTAGGAGAGATGTAGTATAAAGAAGAGTTTTTAGAGAGAGAAAATTCAACACACTTAGAAAATAAAAAGGGACACACGAGTTGAAATAAAACAAGGAGAAAATTGTTTTCTCCCTAACCTTAGCACACCATCTCCTCTCTTTTCTCTTTTGGTTGTTGTAAACTTGCCCAAATAAGATTTCTATAGGAAACACTACACAAATCAGAAAAGATAGAGTTAGCACTCTACAAATTTTAAGTGTTTCTTTATAGGTGCTTAGACTATGTAGATCATCAATAGGGGTTGGACGTTTGGATGACTTTTTTTTCCAAAGAATTTAGATTTATGGTACAAGAGGTAATTTTCTATTCATTGCTTTAATTCATGTACTTATAGTTAGTTGATTCAATGACATGATCCTGGACTCTTTAGATGGAGAAAGTTTTTTTTTAATCTATTCTAGATCTCTATAGGATGCATGATCCTTCAATTGGTATCGAGCTTTTGTTGAATCTTTGATTGCATGTTATATTAATTATGATTAACTACATGAAGTAACTATAATTGATTATAAATCTAGTATTTTTGATATTTTATATTAATTTAAAATTGAAATTTAGGTTAAAATCAATAGGGCACACGAGGCTAATGTTGGACGTTAGAGATCATATGCATAAAAAAAGAGGAACCCATTGGTTGATGGCGCACTAGGCACCCGTCGGGCTAGGCTAGTCACATGCTGGGTGCACGACGAGCCATGCCCTACATGCCGGGTCGCACTCGAGTGCACGAGGCGAGTAGTCCGGGCATTGCATGCTAGGTTGTTCGAGGTGTGCAGCCTAAGTGCCTCTACACGAGGCATGCCAAGCCCACAAGCTAGGCTCCTGCATGCAAGGCATGCCGAGCCCACAAGCCGGACACAAATGTGCTAGGCTACGAGCCGGATGCTCATGTTTCGGGTTGTAGGCTAGGCGTGTGAGGCCATTGGCCATGCACCCATATGCTAGGCTACCGATAGTGGGCAAGTGTGCATAAGAGTGCCAAGCCGAGGGCTTAGGCATCGAAGCTCGTGGGCCCTCGAGGCCCGAAACCCATAGGCCCAAAGCCCAAAAAATTTTAAAATTGAAATTTAAATAAATTTTAAAAAGTTTATAAAATGAAAAAAAAACGTAGATTTATAATTGTTTTATAAATGAAATGTGTTTCATTAGTATGCCGTGTATCAATATGATTGAAGTATGAGCAAATGGTATTGATGAGTTGACCTAGTTTTGATGGAATGAATGTTTGTAATTTTTGGATAAATAGGACTCGTGCGTCCTACCTTTTCTTATACTCTATTGTATTTCTCTTCTTATTTTACTCCCTCGAATGTAACTCGAGGTTTCTTATTCAAATATATGTAAATGTAGAATATAGGAATTAGAATAGATGTAAGGAGAAGTTGACAAGAAATGAAAACATTCTTGAGGAATTTGTAATATTTTTTCAAGGAATTTGACCCACTAATCTCCTTGTAGTTTGAAGGGGCTAGTATTAGAGATTCATTACCATTCATCGAGTCCATTGAGTCATGCATGAGATGTATCTATATTATGCGATTTATATTAGTATGTGTGTTAGGAATAATATGATTATTGATTAGTATGCATGCTATGATGATGCCAACCAAATTAAATCATTCAAATACAATATTAAGTTAATTGTCTTCCAACATTATGAGAAGGAAACTCTCTTGATATGATAGTGGTGATTTTGGTGTTGCTCTTGCCCGAAAAAGTACTAGTGATAGAAGGGAAATAAGGTGGTGGTTGAAATAGTTGAATCATATTATGATTTGAAATTTGTCTATTAAATATATACAAAATCTCATTAGCTAAAAATATTCTCCAATAAATAAATTAAATTTGAAAATCAATCCTAAAATATTTTACGTTGGTCAATTTGTTTGTAAATATTTTACATAAAACAAGCACATAAAAATTAAAAATCATCTTTCAATAAAATAGCTTTCTCAAATCAAACACCCTTTAAATTATTAAAAAATAAAAGGTGTGCCAAATGCCAATAGATAGGTGCGCCGATAGCACATTTCTTGAAGCTAAAGGATTACAGAGATAAAAAATAAATTAATCAATAATAATCTACATTCTAGTGTAATCATGTCAATCGTAATAATTAGATTCCTAAGTGATCAACACACCTCACCTACCAGCTCTTTTTAACTCATCTTTAAGTTTATAAAAAAGCCCATCTCTTCTAATGATTACTAGCACATGCCTAAAGCAAGTAAATAGAATGAAATTCCCTTCTAAAAAGGCAATATTAAATTGGCCAGTAGCATCAGGACTTAAACATAATGATTATTATAATTGCTGCTATTATGGCGATCATGATTAACATTAGATCTACCTTTACTTACACTATATATAAGAGTTAAAAAGAATGAAGACAACTAAACACTTGAAAAGCAGGTCACTAGCTATCAATATGCTGAAGAGAGGTGCTATCACCGTATCCATGTTTTCAAATTCCACAGTGTTAGTAGGGTGTTGCAGGGGACGTAGGCGGCTAAGGAGGAGGAGACTTAGCACGATAAGGCTAGGGAATAAGCGGCGCGGGTTCTGCTTAGGGTCGCGGCCAGTGATCCAATGGGGTGTCGTGGCTCCGTTTCAAATGCTGAAGAAGATCATCATGGATGTGGCACCTAATGGCCGGTTGATAGAGGCTTATTATTTGTCTTTACCATTTTTACGTCCCCAAATATTTCCTCTTTGTTGATTGCTAACACTGACATAGTTCATCATTTTCTTTGGCTGTTTTCCTTTTTTCTTTTTTTTTCTTTTTCACAAATTGTGTATTTAGGGGCATTAGAAACAACCCCAATAAACTGAAAAGGCCAGCTGCTGCTTGTACGATGAATCAGTAACAAAAAATATCAAAAAGGTTGGAAATCTATGTCAACATGCTTTAAATGTGAGGTGTGAAAATTTTAACAGTAATAAAATTAATTTGATTTCAGGGCCATTTTAGGATTACAAGTAATTTGTATATTAAAACTTTATTTAGCTTGTAAGGGTATTTTGAAATTAAGAAATAGTTGTGCATAAATCGCATGACTAATTTTGGTGATTTGACATAGATATTTTGTTAGAATAATAAATTTGAAATTTAACATATATTTAAAGTATAAAGCTGAAAATCGATTTAACAACAAAAATCACTCCTAAACTATTGGGTTGTTATGACAATTTAAGGTTTATATTATAAATTTCTGCTACTTAGACCCCAAATTATTATTATTTGGACTAGGGATAGCAATAGAAGAGTATCCAACCTATTAATTTAATTTTTTATCCTATCCATGCATTACTCATTAAGAAATTGTTATATAAATTTAATCCGATCTATATCCGAGTAACATTAGTTTATCCACCCATTTAGTACTTATTTAATATCCGTTAAAAATAATTTATCAAAATATTTCATTTTCATTTTTGTAATTTTCAAGAAATTTTTTATGGTTATTAAAATTTATTTTTTTCATTTTGGTCATTGCTTTATAAGATTTTTAGTTCTCAAAGTTTTCAAAAAAAATATTTTGGTTCTTAATTTTTAAAATTTATTCAATTAGATAATTGCATGCTAAAAAAATCAAAGTAAATTAATGATTATTAATAGGGTAAAGAGTGCGTATGCATACCTTGAAACTATATTAGCGGATATGTATTTTTTTATCCTTATCCACTTCAATACCCATTGGATATTTTTAATGGGTATTTGTTGGACTAGTTAAAATAGATATCGAGTTTTATACTCGGCTCATTGTCATTCCTAATTTGGACCATTATTATTATTATTATTATTATTATTATTATTTGTTATCTTTAATGGTCAAAACATTAACCGTTAACTTGAATATGTTTTAATGATAAAATTTACCTCTAAAATATTAGGTTATGGAAAAATAAGGCCTATACTATTAAGTTAGGTTATTTGGACCCTCAACCATTACTTTTTTGGTAAGTTTTATCCTTCTCCGTTATTTACGACGGTTAAAATATTGATAGTTTATTTTTTTTTAGAATTAAAATTAATTTCTTTTTATTTTATTTTTTATAATAGTTATTTTTTAGGAAGTTTAGATGATTTTATCTTTTATAGATTTGACTTTTGTTGTTAGATAATTAATAACATGCAATGGATCCATTTAATTATAAAAATATTGAATTATTATTTTTTTTAAAATTAATTTTAATTCTAAAAAAATTAAAATACTTCAAACGACATTGTTTTAAGTATTTGAGTTAACGGCCAACATTTTGACTATTAAAAATAATAGAGAAGGATAAAATTTGCTAAGAAATTAATAGTTTGGAGTTAAATCGTCTAAAACGATAGTATATATTTTATTTTACCACGACTTAATAGTTTAGGGGTAAATTTTTTCATTAAACTATATTTCGGGTTATAATCAACGTTTTGATTGTTAGAGATAATGAATAAAGAATAATATTTGTTTAAAAAATATTAGTTTGAAGTCCGAGATAGGCCAAATTGATAGTATGAGCCTTAAATTGTCATCTTTTATCAAGACATGCAAGAAGACGGAGTTACAAGGCAATTATTAGTTCCTATTATCAATTCTACTTAATACCTAATTATTATTAAATGTCTTATCTCAATCAATTAAATCAAAATTACGCAACATACAATAGTAAAAGAAGGATTACGAGCTTTGGCTTGTATGATTAGTTACCTCCTATCATTTGCTTTTAGAGTCCTTATGAAATTGATTTCTAGTACGTAGTCTCTTTCATAACTCATTGAAAATAGATTTTTTTTTAATAAACAAGCTATTTACTTAAATAAAACTATTGGGCATATGTATCTTGAAGCTAATTGAGCTTACTCATTTGCGGTTTGCTTTCGTTGCCTCTACATATGTATGATTAGTGCATGCATGTATTTTAAATTAGAGCAAACTTAGTAGTTAAATCCCTTAGAGATTGAAGGAGCACCCTCACTTTTGATTCTTTGAGAGTACTTAACTCATCAAAGAATAGTTTCCAAAGTACTATTCCTATTGTTGCAATCTCATGTTCATAGTCTGCAACATTAATAGATGGCCGATGACTTGTTAAAATTTTTTCCAATGCTTCTCCTTTTACTAACTATGAGAATTAGAGGAGAGAATTGAAGAAGAAGAAAAATTCATATGAATTATGTTTCAAAAAGTTATCAATTTCTTATTCTTCTTAGCTATATATACAAAGTAGAAAGCAAGGTAAGAACATTGATCGTAACTAACTTGTTAACTATATAACTAACTAGCTAAATGCTTGATAATTAGTTGTAATAAAAAATTAATGGCTACGGTAACTACTAGCCATGTGTCCTCTTTTTTCAACATTCCTCCTCGAGAGGAGTATGAATATTTGTAATGCTCATCTTGGCCAAAAGTAAATAAAACTATGCTTGGTTGTAGAGGTTTAGTAAGCAAGTCTATAATTTGGAGATTGGATGATATAAACTCGGGTTGACAACACCAGTAACAACCTTTTGTCCGATAAAGTGAAAGTTGATTTCAATGTGCTTCATCCTCTCATGGAAGACTACATTCTTACCGATATGAATCATTGATTGATTATCACATTTCAACCTTACTACAACTTGATGTTGGAAACCTAAGTACGTTAACAAAGATAGTAACCAAATAAACTCGTAACGAGACAGTGGCCATTGCTCTATACTTAGCTTTAGTTGAGCTTCTAGCCACCAATGATTTTTTTTTCGATTTTCAACTAATAATTGAATAATCAAGAAATACACGATAGCCGAGTGGCTAATCTACGAGTATCCTTGCGGCATGCCCGATCACTATTAGTGTAAGCTTGCAATGTTACATCAAATTAGGTTGAAAATAGAATACCACGCCTGAGTGCACATTTTAGACACCGTGACACTCTAAATGCATCCTATAAATGAATCATTGTAGGTTTATCCATGAATTAAGAAAGGACTTAAGTAGCAAAAGAAATGTCGGGCCTTGTGAAAGTCATATATATTAACATTTCTACCAATTGTCTATAAAAATTCTAATCTTCTAGAATCTTAGAATCAGTTTGAATTAGCTTAACATTAGGGTCCATAGGAGTAGTTGCTGGTTTTGCCCCTAACAATCGATGTTTTGTCAAGAGATCAATGGCATACTTCCTCTAACACAAAGAAATTCCTTTAGGAGATCTTGCTACTTCAATACCATGAAAGAAAGATAATCTGCCCAAATCCTTTATTTTGAATTGAGTATGAAGAAATCTTTTAAAGTCTTCATTGATGTTCATGGAGTTACTAGTAATGATAATGTCATCCACATAAACAAGCAATGCGAGTAAAGTGATTAGAAGATACTCTTTTAGTGAATAATGAGTAATGCTGTCTTTGATCGTACAAAACCAAAAGATACCAAAGAAGTAGTCAACTTTTGATTCCACTATTTAGATGCTTGCTTCAAACTATATAGAGATTTATTAAGCATGCAAACTCATCTTGTATTAGCGGGATATTCCTTATAGATTTGATACCCTAGTGGAAGATCGATGTATACTATCTCGGATAAATCTCTATTAAGGAATGCATTGCTAGCATCTATTCGAGACAAATGCCACTTACGAGATGTTGTAAGAGTAAGAAATATTCACACTATTATTTTCTTAACAACGGCGTTAAAGGTTTCTCGATAATCAAAGCCTTCTTGTTGACTATACCCTTTGGCTACTAACCTAGCCTTATATCTATCAACACTCCTATCAATAAGAAGTTTCAAATTATATACCCATTTATAGCTAAACACATATTGATCATAAGGCAAAGGAACCACTATCCAAGTATGATTTTTCTCAGAGCATTAAGCTCGGCTTTTATGGATGCTTGCTAGTAATTCGAATGTATGGCTTGGTGATATGATGTAGACTCAACAATATTCAAAAGAGGTGTGACAAAGGAGATATTAGAGAGAGATAAATGTATTGGAGAAATGAAATGATGAATGAGATAATTTGTAGAACAAAAAAAAAAAAAAGCAAAGGATGCGAGTAAATGTGATTTGGTGGTCTACCGATACGATTCGTTGCTTTTTACTAGAACAAAACTAATATAAGACTCATAAGGATTATGAATAAATTGATCATTTGGAATAGATGAATTTGGAGAAGTTGGAGTATCAATAGAAGAACTATGATTGGAAATATTAGAAGAGGAATCAAAAGTGATAGTTGGTAAATGGACGAGAATCATATAAAATAATATGAGGAGATGTGTCATGAGAATGAGAATTTGTTTTTTTAGAAAAAGGAAAAATATGCTCAATAAACACAACATCCCTGAAAGAAAAAGTAGATTTAAAATTCAAATCATACAATTTGTAAGCTTTCATACCAACTAGATATCCAAGAAAAATACATTGTCTAGCTCGAGGGTTATATTTTCTTTTGTTTTAAGACAAAGTGGAAGCAAAACAAAGACAACTAAAGAATCTCAAATGATTGTATGAGGGTTTCCTATGAAATAATATTTCATATGATTCTTTGTTATTTAGAATTTTGAAAGGCAATATGTTGATGAGATATGAACCGGTAAGAACTCGTTTCACCACTAGAAAATAGTAAGTGAAAAAGATTGAAATAATAAAGCTCTAAAAATGATCGGTAAATGTTGATGTTTACGCTCAACAATACCATTTTGTTGTGGTATTTCAACACAAGACATATGATGAATGATGCCTTTGCTAGAATAAAACTTAGACAATTTAAACTCCACACCATTATCCGATATAAGCTATTTATAGATAGATGAAATTATGTTTGAATAAGATGTAAAATGTGGGAATTATGGAAGCAACATTAGATTTAGATTACATCAAAAACACCCAAGTCATCCTTGTATAATCATCAATAATAGTAAGAAAATACTGATATTTTTCATGAGCTAATTGAGAATATGGTTCTCGGATATCAACATGAACTAATTCAAAAGGAACTGTAGTAGATCGTGTATGAATAGGAAAAGGAAGTCTCTTATGTTTAGCCATAAGGCAAACAACACAAGGATTTTTATTTGAATTGGAATTATATTTTACATCAAGTCTAATTTGATGAAAAATTTTCATCTTGTCATGAGGAATATGTCCCAACCTAAAATCCTAAAGATCAAAACAATTATCAACATTTAGTACAAGACTAGTTTGAACAAAAGCTGATTGAGAAGAAACAGTAGCTAATGAAGGAGGTAGAGACAAAGCATTTTATAGGAAGTAAAGACCATTCTTAACTTTAATAAGTCCAATCATTATCCATGAAGGAAGTGTCTAAATCAAACAACAATCATGATGAAAATCAATAAATATTTGCCAAAACTAGTCATTTTACTAACGAAATAGGATTGAAACAAAATATGGGAACAAAAAGAACATTATGAAGGATTAACTTTGAGGACAAATAAATAATGCCGGAAAGAGTAGCAACTATTTTAGAACCATCGGGCATTGAAACAAACACATGATCGATAGTATGAAAAGAGCTATAGAAGTCTAGTGAACAAATAAGATGATTTGAAGCACTTGTATCCACTATCTAGGATTTATGATTCATGGAAGTTGATGAATGCTTTAAAAATTATTTGTAATAGTAATGCGAAGTATTGAAGAGATTATGTTTGAAAAGTGTTATACCTATAAAACTAGAAGGAATATTGGATGATTAAACTCCGGACTCATATGTGACGGAATGTGGTATTTATGTATCCTAAATGCGAGAAGATCCATTAATTTTTGAACTTGATGTTGAGTTAAAGATACTTCTAAAAAAGGATTCAATGCTGAATTGGTAAACTCTAAATCATCATTAGCCTTTGTAGAATTGACTTGAATGAATGAGCCTTCATTTGTTTGTGTTATTTGTAGAGTTCAATGTTGAGAAATTCCCTTTGTTCTTCACAAACCTTGAATTGTTAGGAAATCCAATCAAACGATAACACCTCTCCTTAGTATGTTTAGGTTTGCCATAATGTGCATACATAAAAATATTCTTGGACTTATTATGAAAATTTGCTTTAGTTGCTATGACCGAAGTATTAAAAAAATTATGGAATTGACTCTACATAGCTCTCTAAGATTCTTCCTCACTACTTAGATTATAAACCTCATCTAATGAAGGACATGATTTCATCATGATCATATGTGATCTTAAACCAGTATATGAATCATTCAAACCATTCAAGAATTGATACACATAATCCTTATGCTGTAGTTCCATGAACTTCTTCAAACAATTTGGATTACATTCTCCATATTCACAATGAGGCAATGGCCTAAAATTCCTCAATTCCTCCTAAATAGAATTTAGTTCGGTGAAGTATTCATTAATGCTATAATTTCCTTGATTTATGGTAGAGAATACATATTACGGATTGTATATTTTTGAGTCATCAATTTAAGAAAAATGTTTCTTCAACACCTTCCAAATCTTTGTTGCATAGTTCATATAGAAAATTATTGCTACAATTAGAGATGATATCGAATGAAGTAACCGGGAGATGGTTAGGTTATTGCAATGCAACCAAAGACCATACGAGAGAATCATTGCTAGCAAGTGCGGGAATAGATCCGTCAACAAATCCAATCTTGTTATGAATTGAAAGTGCTACCAAGAAAGATCGACTCCATGAAGCATAATTGATTGAGGTTAATTCTAGTGTAACAATCATAAAGCCGTGATTGTCCGAATGATGCGGAAAAAATGGAGATTGCAAGTCTCCAACCAAGGAATTCACGGTGATAGTCATCATTAATGAAATCGTGAACTAAAGATGATTTAGAAACAAAACCCTAACTCAACCTAAGCTACGATACCAAATGAAAATCGGAGGAGAGAATTGAAGAAGAAGAAAAATTCATATGAATTATGTTTCGAGAGATTTATCAATTTCTCATTCTTCTTAGCTATATATATATATATATATATATATATATAAAGTAGAAAAAAAGAGATAAGAACGTTAACCGTAACTAACTTGTTAGCTATATAACTAACTAGCTAGTTGTTTGATAATTAGTAATAACATAAAAATTAATAGCTACGGTAACTAATAGCCACGAGTCCTCTTTTTCTTTCAACACTAAATTTTGTGAAATATATATTAAATCATACTCAATTAAAGTTAAGCTCTATTTACTAATTCTCATATACAATATTGGTCTATTCGACACATATTTCATTACATATGTCCGCATAATTATTTAACAGAATAAAACATCAAATAATGTCTTAATTTTGTGGTTGTATGATAAAAAACAAATATAACTTTTTCAATTAAGTAATATCTACTTTTAGCATTATTCAAAGTCTTTAAGTAGAAAATATCTTTTCCTTGAACTGCATCATTATCTTTTGCTACCAATCTCCTAATTGAACCTTCTATTGTTATAATATATAGCTTTAATAGCCTTTCAAGCTCTAGTGGCACCAAGACTTAAGGATTTGCCAAGTATTTATTGATTCCGTTAAAAGCATCTTGGTGCTTTTGTTTGAACTTGAATTCTTTCTTCAATTTTAGTTCCAATAAAGGAACTATACTTTTTAACATTATAAATAAAAATTCTTAAATAACCAATAGAATCATAGAAATTTATAAATTTAACTCTGTTTTTTAGAGGTTTGGCTTCTAAAATAGCTTTAAACCTTAATTTTCTCTACTTCTATTCCTCTTTTATGAATTAGAAATCCTAAAAAATTACCTATATAAACCCCAAAGGTTCATTTCAATGGGTTAATTTTTAATTTATATTTTCTCATTCTAATGAAGGCCATCTCCTAGTTATCTTTGTATTTCTTTTTATCTTTTGATTTCACAACGATGTTATCCATGTAAACGTTCGTACTTTTTCCAACCAAGTCATGAAAAATTTTATTCATTGTCCTTTGGAAAGTTACCTTCGTATTTTTAAACTAAAAGGCATCATTGACCCATTCATAGGCTCTTATTAAGCTTGTGCATCAAAATGTTGTTTTGTGTATGTCCTTTTTAAAATAGGTATCTAGTTATATGCACCACAACATATTTCCCTTTCAACAACATCTATTATGAGCATGAGATACTCATCTTTAGGAGTTTTATTATTGACATTTTTAAAGTCAACACATACCTTAGTATTTCTATTTTTCTTTAACGTGACCATTATATTGGATAACTATTCTACATACCTTACAATTCGATGAATATGTTATGAAAAGCCTCTAAATATCATCCTTTCAATTTGCAACGGATCTAGTGTGATCCTTCTTATTTGTTAGTTCATATGTTTGGCCTTTGGTTTGATTGGTATTTTTACCCCTACTAACTTCCTGTCTAGACTCGATGTGTCTTGATAATTCCATATGAAGCAATACCTATACTTGCCTCAATAATTTTATCAATTTCTAGTCCTTGTTGGGCAATTGAGATAAATTCCTTTTCTATAATTTTGGCCCAACATTTAAACATTGCATAAGTTAATCTATCAAGTTACTTCGAGTAGATTCCCTCGGCATGTTACTTGAACTTTCTTGGGCTAAACGAGTCCTAGCTCGAGTTTTGTTTTAGAGAGCGAGCCCATAAAATGGCTTGCATCTCTCCCTACGAGTAAATAGAATTAGAATGAAGATTTATGTAGCATGAAGATTTCCCCTAGTTAGTAAAATTGGAAATAGCCTAAGTTCTAGGCAATCAAGTCTGCAGCTTCTTGGCATTAGTAAACAAATCCTACAATATGCTCGTTATAGTGATTGATATTTACTCGATGAATAAGATGAAACCAAGAAATCTAAAATTAAATGAAAAAGGGTTTATCCTAGTTATTTGTTCAAGGCATGGAATATTGTAGGCGTGTCTATGAATCTATTGTATCATAGATTTATAGACCTATTCTATAACTCCTATAATATATTTAGGATCTAGTTGCAAATAATCCTTGCGAACTTTAACCATACAATGTTTGAAATAGTATATAAGATTTCGAAACAACATGCTATAAATGTTAGGAATCAAATGGATGAGAAATTATTCAATTTTTTTGGATAGACAAGTTTTAACAAGACAACTCCACCTAGAAGGGCATATGATGATTTCTATAAGGATCCGGAGGTAATAATGATAAAGATAATCTATTATTTGAACCTAAACCTCTTGCACAAAGACTTTTAGTTATAGAGAAAACTAGTCATCCTATGAAAGATCCCTTTATAGATTTACATATTGGCTCTATAGAGATAAAAAAACTATACTATAAGTACGCAAAGGAAAGATCCAAAGGGCAAAATCAGATAGGAATATGGAGATTTATGCTCCTTTTTTAATTATAAATGCTAAATGCGATATTTACGTTCATCAATATATGGTTTAAACCCATACGAGTATGTTTGCTTAGTGTTTGTAGTTTTTAAGTTCAATTTTTATCCCTACTATGGGTTCTCTTTTTTTTTTTTTTTTTTAATTTTAGATTCTATCATAATATGTGTAGTTTTGTTGTTGGCTAACATTTAGTTTTTATAATGATTCTCTTTTATTTTCATTGTTAATTTGTATTTATCCTCTATTTGTTGATTTATTGCCCAAAACTTAGCCTCTATTAAGTTGTAAGCGTTTTTAAATATGGCTTTGAATTGGGTTTGTCTCCCCTCTACAATATCAAATTAGGGACATCGATATTTTCTTTCCATTCTTTCTTTGCAATTTTTATTGCAACTACAAAAGTATTTGTATTATCATCATCTCATACAAATGGGATTTTGGTTGACTTTTTAATATCATTTCTAAATTGCCACTCCCATTATGGTCCTTAAAAGATATTATTTGTTTCTTTTATGCATGCTCCAATTAAGAGGACTTTGGAACAAAAGAATTAAAGGTGTTAAAATATTGAAATGGTGTGAATTGCACACATTATCTTTATTGAAGAGACATATACAATATATATAGTGGTGAATTAGTAAAACATTAATCTCTTAAGAATTTGAATTATTATTGATTTAAAATTGTAATTTGTAATTCAATTCAATAATACATTTGAATTTGAATTACAAATCAAAATTCAAATTAATGATTACATTTAATTTGAATTTATAATTTAAATTAATGATAATGATTACATTTGATTTGAACTTATAATTTGTAATTAAAATCAATGATAGTTATCATTTAATATGCTCTCTCAAGATAGTCCACGAGAAGAGAGGCTAATCGTGACTTTAAAAGACTTGAATTGAGAATGAGATAATGGCTTTGTAAGTACATCGGTAAGCTAATCAGCAAAGGAGACATGAGATACACAGAGAGCACCTTTTTGAACCGAGATCTTGAATAAAATAAAAGTCAATGGCAACATGCTTCATTTTTGAATGGAAGAAAGGATTGGAACACAATTGAGTTATACTGATATTGTCACAATAAATGATAAGGGTATTAAAAATAGTAAGACTAAGATCAAATAAGAGTTAACACCTAATTTAGTTCAACGAGTAGTAGCGAAAAAGCGATATTCAGCCTATGTAGAAGAGCGAGAGCAATAATTTTTATTTCTTTAAACTTTAAGAGATTAGATTACAAACAAGATAAATAATGTATGCACTAGTAGAAGAGAAATCATATTTGTGTCCATCCCAATCCACATTTGAGAAGCGTGAAGAGATAATGGAGAATCATGATAGAACAAAACTCCTTAATCTAAAGTACCACGTAGATAGCATAAAAGATGCTTGACTAGTGTCCATCATTTTATTGATGGTTTGTGCATAAACCATGAAAGTTTCTTAACTATGTAAGATGTTTTTAAATGAGTGAGTGATAGGTAATGGAGACTTTTTCAACAACAACATGACATTCAATGGGATTAGAAAGTGG